CCGAGTGGGGTAATCCGTGTGTGGATGGGACGTGGACAGTGCCCTGTGCCCTGGCAAGGGGCCATCACATTGTACTGTGCTGTGGGAGTGACTGAGAACTGCTGTGGGTTGCCCAGGGAGGTCACTGATCTTCCCTCCTCCAAAACCACCTGGACACGGTTCTGGGCAACTGGCTCTAGGTGGCCGTGTTTGATCAGGGCCCTTGGACCAGATGACACCCAGAGGTCCCTTCCGACCTCAACTGTTCTGTGATTCTCTCGTTCTGGGAGAGCAGCTGATGTAGAGCAACTCAGGATTCCCAGCATGCGAAGGCATGTAAGGTTCCTTTACTGTCCTCTCCTCCTTTGTAGCTTTAGCGCTAATTAATGACATTTTAAGGAATGTTTGGAAGAGGCTGAGTGCCTCTTTTACTGGAAACAGACACTCTCATTTCTGGTGCCCCAGCCTCAGTGTCTGCAGTCTGTGGGGAGTCTGGCTTGTCCCAGGGACACCACTCTCTGCTGCTGTGTGAATACACCACTAAGGCACCATTTCCTTTCCACAACAGGGGCCAGTCCCCCACTCTTGCATCTCCCTTCAAGAAGTCACTAAGCACAGCTGAGAGCATCTAAGGCTGTAAGAATTTTCTCACTTGTGATGTGGGGATTCTTTGTGGCTGCAGCAATATGGATGTGCTCTAGTTATTACCTATATCCCTGACACACAGACCCTGGACACAGAAAGGCTCAATGCCTGGAAAGGCCATGGGAGCTACATCTCTCACTTTTCTAGTGAGAAAACACCTGAATAAAGCCCAGTCAAACCCTGATCTCATGGAAGCTGATGGCAATGGTCAGGAACTGATTCACTGCCTTAACTCTAGGGCCTGAAGGACTTGCCTAGGACTTGTCTTCGCAAGAGGCTGAGAACTGGCATTGAACTTCCTGGTTGTCAGAGCAGTGTGTGCATGTTCATGCTCACATACATGTTCTTCTGGCAGTGCTCACGTGTCCATTTGCACATACGTGTGCCTGTGTGTGCCAGGGTAATGCACAGGCAAGCAGGAGTGTGCACAAATATTGGCAGCATGTGTGTTTGTGCAGATCTGATGATGAGGGCGTATGTGTTTTATCACATGCACGTGCCCTCATGCAGCTGAGCATGGACGGGTGTGACAATGGTGTGCAGAGATGTAAGTGTGTGGGCACAGGGGTGTGTAGGTATGTGCTTTTATGTGTGCACAGCACTGTGTGTGAATGTGCAAGTGTATCTGCACAGCCATGGGTGCAGGAGGATGCAAATATGTCAGCATGTGTGTTGAATATCTGTGTGTACATGTTGGTTTGGGGGGTGGCTGTGCCTGTGCCTGCTCGTGGGCTCCTTTGGAAACCTGTGTGCACACACCTCTTTATAAGTGCTCAGACATGACACATGTCTCTGTGTGTGCATGCCTGTGTGTGTGCGTACCTCGGTGCGGGTATAGGTGTGCATGTGTGTGCACGCATGAGCGTATGTCAGTGGTCTTGCTAAAATCCAGGTAGAGCTGAGCCAGTGCCCCTCCCCTTCCCCACAGAGCCAGTCACCTCCTCACAGGAAGGAATGGGGTTGGTCAGGCGTGATTTACCCTCAGTCAACACATGTGACTTGCTTCCATGAAGCTTCGTGAAACTTCCATGTGTTTAGGAACAGCTTCTGACAGCATTTGCTCCACTTTCTTTTTTACTACTGAGTAGAGACTGTCCAGCCAGGTCTTGAAGACCTCTGGATGCCTCCCAAGTGATCCCATGAACTTGTTTATGGCCAGATGAGAGTAAGAGCTCCTTAGTTGTTTCTTCTTCTACTGTGGGTGCTGCTTCATTCCCAGAGTCTGTGGGAAGGTTCAGGGATGTGGTGGGCCTAAGGAGAAGCCGTATCAATAAAAACAGAGGAGAAACAGGCATCGAGTATATCAACTTTTTCCTTGTCATTTTCTCTACTTCCTCACCGAGCAGTGAGCCCTCATCTACTCAGCCTTCCTTTTGCTGCCAATCGGCTCAGAGATTACTTTCTTGTGTCCCTTCACCTCCATTACCAGTTTCCACTCGAGCTGTGCTTTGGCTTTTCCTGACTCGCCGTTCTGCACATTGCAGAGACCATCCCTGTGCTCTGAGGAGGCTGTCTTGAAGGTTAACCCCCTCTCCCGGGACCCTCTGTGCTCCAGGGCAGTTTCCCATGGCATCCTGCCAAGCAGGAAAGTCCCTGGTGAGACTAAGCCGTGCTCTTCTCCAGTCAGGGGCACTCATCCTCCTGTTTGTCCTGTCAGTCCTCTGAGCATCCTGAGCTCCACAGTCTCCTGGACAGTGAGGGCAAGGCTGCCCTTGGACTTTACATCATTCAACAGTTCTTCCTCATTTGTGAGCAGAAGGTCTAAGGGAGTCTCTCATTACCTTTTCATGGATTTTCTGTATCAAATATTTGTCTTTGATACACACTAGACATGTTCTGCTTTGCTTGTGCCCAGCCATTTTCCTCCTGCAGTAGATCCTGAGGTGGTCAAATCACCCACATGTACCTGGGCTTTGGACTGTGATTACGAGGCTTTCCCAACTGCCTGTCAAAGGTGTCATCTGCCTCCTCTTCCTGAGCAGGAGATGTGTAGCAGCCACCTAAGTACACCACCACCTGCGCCACAGGGGAAGTGTGAGAGCCTCCTCTGGCATGCTGCTCCCCCGTGCATACCTCTTCTACCCTTGTGACATCCCTGCTCTTCAGTCTGTGGTGACCTCCCCCTCCATACCTACTTTAAACTCCTCCTTCCCAGTTCTGCAGGGATTTGGAAAGACACTCTTGCCTCCCCTTGCCAGGCACATTCCACCCCTGACCAGTCTCTTCACTGTTCCTCAAAGGTCGTCCTGGTACAGAAGCCAAAACTGTGCAGTGCTTCCACAGCCTCCTGCTGCCATGCCCGCGGCCCAAATGAGCTCTTCCACATGAGGGAGAGGGAGTCTCTTCTGACTTCTCTGTCGATTTGCATCTCACTCTTAGAAAATGAAGGTAATTGGGGGGGGGGTTGAGTCAGATGGAACAAGGTCCCCTCAGGGGATATGTCCTTCCAGCCCCGTGGGACCAACTCAGATTCCAGCACATCCTTGTGTGGAGGCTCTTTCTGCCTGTAGAGTCTCACCAGCAAAATTCATAGACTCACAGAATCATAGAAGTGTTTGTTTTGGAAGGGAGCTTGAAAGACCTTCTAGTCCAAGAGTTCTGCCATGGGTAGGGACACCTCCCACTAGATCAGGTTGCTCAGTGCCCCATCGAACCTGACCTTGAACACTTCCGATTATGGGACTTCCTCAACTTCTCAGGTCAAACTGCTCCAGTGTCTCAAAATGCTCATGAGAAAAAATTCTCTTCCTTAAGACCAGTTTAAATCTACCTCCTCTCAGTTTAAAGCCATTGCCCCTTTGTCATTTCTGACACTCCTAAATCTCCTTTCCCTGTCTCATTTATAAGCTTCCCTTTAAGAACTGAAAGGCTGCAATGTTTCCCCAGAGCTGTCTCCTCTCCAGGCTGAACAACCACACCACACTCAGCCTTTCCTCAGAGGAGAGGTGTTCCATCCCTCTCATCACTTTCATGGCCTTCCCTGGACCCGCTCTAACAGACTTTTCCCACAGTCACTGAAGAGACATCAGCTCCCACATGGGAATTATCCCTCCCCAATGTAGATATGCACAGCAAATGGAACGATTCCTCGTTCTGGAGACACTGATCCTGCACTTGACACATGGTGGCCTCTGAACTCCCCAGCTAACATAAACTCACAGCAGGGCCGACCTGCCTGGTCACATCTCCATGGCTTGCTTCATCATGTGATCAGGAGTGAACCCACAGTCTGTCCTGCCAGTGCCTACAAGCACCTCCATCCCATGCCTAAAGCCCACATCCATGTCCACGGTACTCAGGGACAGAGAGAGAGCAGGGAAGCAGCTTTTATGGGGTGAATGGGATCAAGCTGGGCACCTTACTCTCATCACCTGCATCTCCTGCTCTCACCAAGCACAGATCGGTCTTCTCTGAGCTACACAGTGCTCTTGGAAACAGAGCTTGGAAAAGATGACTCTCTGCAGTCCAACCCCTGTGTGCACAGTGTATATGTCTCTCTTCTGGCACCTTGAGTCTTCTCAACTAACTCTGAATTACTAGAATTTATATTTATGTGTGTGTGTGTGTGCATGTTCATGTGTTTGTGTGTCTGTGTGTGTTGTCTAAGCCAGCTGTTTGGTCTACCTTGAGTCTCCTATACTGGATTCTTCCAGCATGTGAGGTGAGTCCTCTGCTCAGGCTGACGTGTCTTGCTCCGGAAATGCTTGGGCCTCTCATCCTGTCATACAAAATGAACCTGGCATCAAGCAGGAAATTAAAAGAAAATGGTTCCGGAAGCTGAAGCACAGCCCATAGCATTAGGTGGGATGTTTTGCATTCAGGATGAGCTTGTCAGATAATAACCACCTCTACAAGGGATGCCTCTGTCAGCCTGGGGCGGTTCAGCATAAAAGACAGCAGAGCTCCTCGCTCTCTCATCCACTTCTCTTGCCTCCTTCTCCTTGAGAACCTTCTCAAGGTCTGAGGTCCCTTCTCCTTCTCTGCTTTCTCACAAAGGAGGTCTCACTTCAGTGAACCTGTGAGCTGAGACCGGCTTGGTTCTATACCAGATCTTAGGGCTGCTTGTCATGGAGAGGGGAGTGGGGAGAGTTAAGCTTGGAGGGATTCTGGAACGGTACTGAGGTGGCTTCTGTACTCGGGGGTAGAGAGTAGCCACAGAGCAGCTGGTGGCTCTTTTTGGACTCTAACAGGATGAGATCAGGAAGCCCTAATACATCTCTGCACAGCCTCATACTGCAGCGACAAATTGATCATCAGGCATCCCCGTGTCTTCTTCCTCCCTGACCTCTCTCCCAGGTGTAACTGACATCCCAAAACATGTCCTGCTGTGACCAGTGCCAGCCCTGCGAGCCCTGCTGCCAGCCCTGCGGCCCGACCCCGCTGGCCAACAGCTGCAATGAGCCCTGTGTCAGGCAGTGCCAGAACTCCACCATCGTCATCCAGCCCTCCCCCGTGGTGGTGACCCTGCCCGGCCCCATCCTCAGCTCCTTCCCACAGAACACCGTGGTGGGCTCCTCAACCTCCGCTGCCGTTGGCAGCATCCTCAGCTGTGACGGAGTGCCCATCAACTCTGGGGGCTTTGACCTCTCCTGCATTACCAGCCGCTACTGTGGCAGAAGGTGCCCCCCATGCTAAAGCCACTGGTGACAGCCCGCACAAGGACCCCAGGAACCCAGAAGCTCCTGCTGGACTGAGGACAGAGCTCCTGGCCAG